ACATTAAAATAATATTTTTTTAAGCCTTTGGAATATATTGACTACTCATTTATGTGCTAAGGCTGTGAGTTCAACCAAAGTCTTCTTTTGTGCTACCTCAATGAAAATTTCAGCAGTCCTATTTTGTTCGCCTTTATCTTTCGTCTTCTTAGCATCCTCAAACATTTTAGCGTGTCAAGTGCTAATATTTTATTGAGGGCATTTGACATGGCTGAAAAATTTTATTTGGAGCGACAGCAAAGACGTAGGTCTGTCGACTTAGCAAAGGCAGGATGTGCATCCCATTTTTGTTAATTGAAACGGCAGTCATTTAAACAAATTTTATTGTAAAACATTTTGAGTCCTTCCCTTAAAGTCCTTGACATGGGAAGGGATTTAACTTATTTAAAAATTGATTAAGCATGATTTGAAATACCTTTTTTGCCCCCAGAAAGTGGACAAGAGAAATTGGTGTGATTATCGGTGCAACTTGTCTTTATGCAGGTGCTACGTTGAATAATTTCCTAGAGCAGTTCAGCGCAATCAAATCGAACAGTTTGTTTAAAAATGTGTTTCTGCTGTTCCGTTGTTTCGACGCTAACACCCATAATTCAAAACTTTAAAGACGAGGGTTGTAGGAAGCGTCGGGATCCGCATAGGCCAAGGTTCATTATATTTATTGCATTCAGGATGGGATTAGCAAGTTTTGGTTGTCTTACTCGAGTTCGTAATTTGTAATTCTTTTTTATGCTTAAAAAGAAGTCGAGGTTTTCATTGGTAAGTACAACAACGCCATGCAAATATGCAGAAGAAGCGATGAACAAGTTGGCACTATGTCAACAAATACGCGCCAGAGTTGGGACCAAACTTTTGCATTTTATTTAAAAATTTTAATTTTATTACTATGCCAATAAGATATCCAGTCACTTGTGTGCAATGGGTGATGGGGGGCCTAAGATGCTTGCACCTAGGTGCTATCAAAACCAAGCCGCGACCTGTAGAAGCTGGAAGAGGATTGAAACGGGGCGGGAAGGGGATAGATATGTGGAGCGTTAGGACATTGGCGTCAGCATCCCACGGTGGTGTGGGTGGTGTACGCAACAGTCCACGCCAAACCTTTGATATTGCCTTGTGAGTCTAAGTGGAGGAATTGTCTAACACACTCATTGGTCCTGGTAACTATATCATGCTCGCCATCACATGCTCATAAGACATTGTTAAAAAGTGTGATATTTTTCATGCTTTCAGCACACCGACGCGAAAGCAGTGGCGACATGGACACTTGATTTAGCAAAAGCACATTTTAGCTTCTCACAATTTTGATTGTCATAGGTTTTAGACGATTTAAGGCAAAAGAGTTTTTAGGGTTTCGGCGGAGTAGAAAAATTTGGCGTTTCTTTTAGACTTGCATTTTATTTTAGTTGTCCCATATATTACTGAATATTTGTGAGTAATACGGTTTGCACCCATCTAAATTGTACGAAAAAACCGTGCAGAAGTAAATGACGATTCTCCTTCAGAGAGTTAAAAATAAGTGATGCATAACCTTCCTTAATCTTCTTCTTCTACTTCTTAATTTAAAGGTGACCATGTTTTGCAAACGCCTTCTCCCATGAAGACGCTTTTTATTAGTCTCCAATCGCTGACCACCAATTGGCCGTCCGTCTGTGAGCAGTCAGCGCGACGCAGAACACATCACGCCATCGCACCACCTTCCGTCTCAATCATACCATACGTAATGTAATGTGGATACCACCTTAATCACATTTCACCTTCTTCGCCTTCCACTTATTCATTCATCCACGTTTTAACTCCTGCATAGGGACGTTTTTTTGCCAAAAAACCAACAACAACGGGAGAACAGTTGCGAGATTGTTCCCAAATTGGCGAAAATAGAGCCGTGAACTAGTTGATTTCTAGGTTTTCGTCCTCCAGACACTCAAATTTGTCATCCGACACATTTCGATGCAATCTTCCATCTCTACCATAGAAGTGACGAAGGTGGAGCAACTCCAGCCGAGATGGTTGAGTGAATTAGCATCCAGTTGAAAGGTCACACACAGCACAGTCACTCTGACTTTAAGGGAGTGCCGAGAATTTTCTTGCCATACCGATTTACAAATCCCATGAACAGCAGTCAAAATGGAGGCATTTCTTTTTTGCTCAATCGAAACTTGTCCTCATTTGTTCACAAAATTGGATTTTTAGCAAAATAAAGAAGCCTTGAGACCGCCTCAATCTTTCATTATAGAAATGCAATCCTTGTGTATTCAGGCAATTAACCTCGAGCGGAAGGACTAGTGACTGAGGCTGAGAGGTGTGGACGTCGTCCAGAGCTGTCTTGAGAAGGTAGTCTTGTCGTCGATTCACTGCATAATGCTGAAGCTGTTATGAAACCCACAATCAACACCTCCTCCACTCACCAAGCCATTGAGGCTACGGAATGCTTTTCAAAATCTACGAACCGCAGAAAAAGCATTTATAAAATCCTCATTTTGGTAACTTCATGAACCTCTTCATCAATCTCTGCGCACAGTCTATGCGCATTGTTTCTGAAATAAAGAAATATTTCAACGGAGCGTCACGTCTTCTTCGAGGGGGATGTCATCTTAAACGACAATCTGTCTAATGGTCACCGCGAAGTGGATAGAGAATGCAGCCGTACAGGTGAATGTTGCGGTGGAGCAGCACGTTTCAATTCAATTGCAATTCCCAGCTCTCTACATCAAAATATACCCACAAAATGCACATACTAAAGGGAAAGAGGTCAATGCGAATAGTGTGGGTAGGAGGTGCCCATTTGTAATAGTCAACATGTTTACTTAAAACTTAGCTGCTTTACGTAAGTTAGCCACATAAACTTCGCTGCAAATCTAATGTTCCATTCTCATAGGGGTAGTGACTTTTGAAAATGTCAAAATTTTTTGCCATACTAACTTATTTATAAGCACGCACGTCAAGAACCCACGGACTTAGTCAGTTCACCTGCCGCAGAGTAAATGAAGACCAAGGCGGAGACAGCATGCTGCATAGGCATTCATAAATAAATTGCGAAAAAAAGGGTCATTTAACAGCAAATTCACAAAAATGGTAAAAATATCCAAAGGTTTATAGCACACTTCTATGGGAATATAAAAAGGTTCACCGTACAATCATTCCTTCTTCTTTGTTGCAGAGATTCCATTCCTATGCTGGTCTTTTGGTTGTTCAATTTCACTCTCTCTTATATCTTCCAAAAGCTTGTCCTTCCCAGTTATCAACCGGATGCACATTAATAGGATATACTGAAAATAAATTCAAACAATGCTTAAATAGGGGGCCTTATTCATGCTAAAACAGAAACCAAGCGGAGAGCGATTAAATGG